AAGCCAGGGCCTGAGATTTAGTCATGGTCTATTAATGAGCCAAGGCAAGACCATGATCTTGCCTTCTGGGTCTGCGTCTCTTCACCTGAAGAACAAGGGTGTTGGAGTGCATCTGAGTCAATAAATAGACTTCATGCTTCCATACAGTCCATTCTGCTCACGGCGACATGACTAATCAATCACCACTTTCTATCCTGGGCAACTTCTCAACAAGCTGCCAGCGGTAAATCATGAAATTGGTCCCTGAGATAAATCGAGTTTGCCATCTTGATACTCGTGATCTCCAAGTCCTAGTCCAGTTCCACTACTTCTAAATCCTCAATGAAGAAGCACATAATCCCAAACAGTAGGACAAAGACATGCCAAGACCCCAGAGGCATTCCTGGATGTCCCTTAAGGAAACTGTGGGGGCAAGGACTTCCTTCGCCTTTTGGGCAATCCAAAATCGTTTGCTTCATGAGGAGTGCATTATATGCTTTAACAGTTTGGCTCGGTTCCCAGGTGACTTGCATTGGGCACATCATTGGTGCTGTGGTCACCGACACCCGAGAACATGCCCAGAGAGCCGCTCAAGCGGTGAGAATCACCTATGAAGATCTTCCAGCCATTATCACAATAGAGGTAACTGAGAAAGGACTGCATGGGGAGGGGTGAGCCCCCTGTCCCTGGAGGCACCTTTACTGGGATACTTCAGGGGGGTTCCAGCAGCAGGTGGGATTCGATTAGACAGGAAGAGGTAAACCCTTCAGCCCCAGGATTGTGTGGTTTTCAGAAAACTTCCCCATCATGATCCCAGACTCAGTCTGCCAGAGGCCAGACTAGGTCCCTCCTTCCAATGCCAGCTCCTGTTGGTTCCTTGAGGGACTCTACTTTTCCTCAAGATCCAAGCGTGTCCAACTATCTCTGAGGAAATGGAGGCACATGGCCTCTGGCTACATGCAAGCTTACTTGAAGCCTGTGTAAGACCCTTGTACAGATGCCCTTGTGAGAAGAGGGAGGGTGGTTCCAACAGCCTCTCTTCCCCCTGGTGGGAAATAACCTTTCTTCTCCTGAAAGTCTGGTCACTGAATCGTCTTTGTGGTCCTCAGGATGCTATAGCAAAAGACTCCTTTTATGAGCCTGAGCTGAAGATAGAGAAAGGAAACCTCACGAAGGGGTTTTCGGAAGCAGACAACATTGTTTCAGGTATGGCCGTGCCATACAGTCCTGGGGTATGGGCTGGCCCTGGTTTATGAATTAAATTCAAGAGCTGGACCTTGAGTCCTGGAGCAGGGGAGTGAATTTTTACCAGAAGAGTCCTCCTGATGTTTGTAGCAAAATAGTGGACAGTTGGCAGGGAAAGACCCTCTCTCTTTTTTTAAATTTTTAAATGTTTATTTATTTGTGTGTGTGTGAGAGAGAGAGAGAGAGAGAGACAGAGCATAGGCTGGGGAGGGGTAGAGAGAGAGGGAGACACAGATTTGGAAGCAGGCTCCAGGCTCTGAGCTGTCTGCACAGAGCCCTACAAAGGGCTCAAACTCACCAACCAGGATCATGACCTGAGCCGAAGTCGAACGCTTCATTGACTGAGCCACCCAGGTGCCCCTAGACCCTCTGCCATCTTAATGTCCACCTCCTGTCTCCAGGTTACATATGAGTATGTGGTTCTGGGTAGCTGGGAGTGTGTCGGATTTAGAAGGCTGTCCGGGGAATTAGTGGCTACAGGTCCTGGCCCTCCCTGTGGGCCTGCGGGGCACCCGTCTGCTGGTGACATCCCTTTGGGTATTGTTTCCTACATTGTCCATAGTGTATTCCTAAGCCACTGGTGAGTCAACTCTGCAACTGGCCCAATAGCTTCCGTTCCAGAAGATGCTCTCATTTTTAGCTTTTCAGTCACATCTGTTAATTCCTTCTTTACCATTCTCCAAATTTTACCAAAGAGTTTGAAGGTCTGCAGTGAAAGAAAGCTTCATGCCTGATGCATTTTGGTATCATTCTGGTTTCTTTGTTGGGGTGGGGGATTTGGCTCCCCCAGGTGGCTAAGGCTTTGAGACCCTTTTCACCCCTGCTGGGAACCTAGAGGTACCAGTGTGTGAGCAGCTGGTTGCTGCCCAGGGCCCTGGCAAAGTGCACTCTCCTTCAGCAAACTCTGGATCACCATGGGGGTCACATTGCCTCCCCAGGCGAGTTGTACATTGGTGGCCAAGAGCACTTCTACCTGGAGACTCACTGCACCATCGCTGTCCCCAAAGGCGAGGCAGGGGAGATGGAGCTCTTTGTGTCTACACAGAACACCACGAAGACCCAGGTACCGTCCTGTGGGTCAGCTCCAGGGCCTGGGCATGGCACTGGGGAGCTTCTGGCCAACTAGGAGTTGGTGATGTAGGACATGGGAAAAGGGAGATCTGGGCTGGTGCTGAAGGGGATCTGAGGGTAGTGGTCCTGGAGCCAGACCCTATCAACCAACAAGCTTGTGTCACTGAGTTGTGACATAACCTTTCTTGGTTTCCTCTTCCATATAATGGGCCTGGTAGGGTGTTGTAATGACTAGTTGTTTACTACTTGGATGGCATCTAATAAGAGTTGGTTTTTCCAGTGAGATATGGCCTTGGTCAAATCATATCCGATCTCAGGCTCCTCATCTGTAAAACGTGGGTGATGGGTTTAGTGATCGCCACAGAGACCACTAAATTATCTGTGGCAGCTCAAATATGGCGGCTCCCCATTTCTCTATTGCTGGTAAGGCGACAGTACCGGCCAGCATTTTGGGCAGCTGGTCCTACCCCCACAACTCACCAGTTCTTGGCTGGATGAAATGAACTTTGGCTCTGAAAGTCTGCTGTGGCCAGCCGCTGACCCCCCTTGCTAGAAACAAGTGTCTGAATTCAGTCTGCAGTGACTAATGAGTGTTAGACTCCAGCACCTCGAGATCAAGGGCTGCCTGGGGAGGTGAGGGGGATTCAGGAATCAAGGAATTTCAGAATTGACGGCACTAATTAGGCTTGCGGAGGGCGGGCGGCTCTAGGTCGGGGTGAGGTAAGTCCAGATGATGTGTTCAGTGCAAGTAATTTTTCTTTTGTCCACAGAGCTTTGTTGCAAACATGTTGGGGGTTCCGGCAAACCGGATTTTGGTCCGGGTGAAGAGAATGGGAGGAGGCTTTGGGGGGAAAGAGACCCGGAGCACTGTGGTATCCACGGCAGTGGCTCTGGCTGCATACAAGTGAGTCCCCCTAGCCAGCTCAGAGAAGGAAATAAGGCTGCCTCTGCCAAGAAGGCTTTCTAGATTTTTCCCTTTTAGAAGCAGATTTCCCTTGCTTTGAATTTTCACAGCCTTCTGCTTTTAGAACTCTTGGGCATTGGGGTGAGGGTAACACCATCTGTTTCTTTGTGTTCGATGCATGGATCCCTGTTTAGCCTCCCCTGCCTGCGCGTGAGGGCCCTCAAGGCAAGGGCACACATCATATCCTTACATTCCCCATGTGTCCAGCAGCTTTATTTCTAGACAGTGAAGCAACCCAGCCCCAGTCTGCTTGTGCACCAGGTGGAAGAAGAAGTCTCCCATGCTTCCTCCCTGAGACCCAACGACTGGGCTGTTGCAGAAGCTCCCAGGGTTCTAACCTTCTGATGCCTCCCTTAGGACGGGCCGCCCCGTGCGCTGCATGCTGGATCGTGACGAGGACATGCTGATAACTGGTGGCAGACATCCCTTCTTGGCCAGATACAAGGTTCTAGTTGTCGGGAGCTATGTCGGGGCGGAAGGGGAATGCCATCTCACTGGGAAACCTGGAGGTGAAGATCCAGGGATCCTGGGATGTACTCTTACGTTTTTCACGAATACCTGTAGAAGTTCAAAGAAGAAATAGCAATGAGAAAAATTTTAATCTGCCAGCAGCCACATAGAAGGGCGATGCTGGCCGGCCACTTCCCTAGTGAGGTCACAGCATGGTGTTTACACCTTTTGTGAATTTTCTCTGCCCCATACCTAGTCTTTCTCCTCTCAGGGTCGGACGCATGAGTTTTCAGCAGCCCTGGGATAAATCCCTCCTGCAGAATGACCTAATGTGTTCATAGCCAGATGTAAAGATCAGAATGATTACTTTGTAATTTACAGTGAGAAATAAAGCTTCCAGGTTGTTAGGGTGGGCACCTGCTCCACCAGACCAGGGGTGGGGTCCCTTTGCTGAGTCTCTGTGGATGACCAGCATCCTGTCCCTCTAAACACTAGTACAACCTGACAGATCCCAGTCTGGGAGCCCTTTCTCTCCATTAGGTGGCTTTGAACATCCCCCTGTGACCTCTTCTCGTTTTGTTTCATGATTGAACTCCCCCGAAGGGATTATATTTCCCTTCTTCCCAAATTCTTGCAGACCTGAAGAAAGTCCCAGGTCCTTACTTATGAAACGGCCTATAAAATTTGTTCTGATGGCTACCTGAGGTCAGGGACGTGAAAGCATATTCCTGCTTGTTGTGCACATTCCTGTTTGTTGTGCACATTCCTGGTTGCTGTGGCTTGCTGGCCAAAATGTGTGAGGCGTATCTCCAGTATCTCTCTGTTTCTCTTCCCGGCTCTCCCTTCTCTGCCTCCTCACTCCCTCTCGTAAAATCAGAGCCAGTGTAGGTAGAAGGAAGGGGGAGCGTGGGGAGAGGGTGTGTCCAGGGTTGAGGCCCCATGGAGCGTCACTGGAGAGATGTCAGGTCCTCTCTGCTTCACCTGTTAGCTCCGGTGACCTTATTTTCATGGTATGATGTCTTGTTCTTTCTGCTTCCTCCGGGTAGCATGAGTGGGAGAGGATGACTCAGGTTAGGCAGAGGAAAGGGACTATCGAGAACTCTCTCCTTTTCATCAGGTTGGCTTCATGAAGACTGGGAGGGTTGTGGCTCTGAAGGTGGAGCATTACAGCAATGCGGGGAACACCCTGGATCTCTCCCAGAGTGTAAGTAGGATGCACCCATGCCTCTGGGTGGGGGGTGACTGGGAGGTCACGGGCAGGCCCCACAGCCCCACAGGCATAGGCCTCCTCACTTCCTGCCTGGGATTATTGCAGTAGCCTCCCCGTTGGTCCCCACCTTGAGGCTCTCCACCCCTGGTTAAGC